GCAAGTGACTTGACGGCACATAACAACAACAACAACATATTGACCCCACACTCTCCCTTCCGCATTCCTCTTTCTTCTTGAGAAACAAAGTACTGAGATTCCTGGCTTTGAAGCCAGAAGACTTAGTCTGGAATCTGAGTCTGCTGTTCTGCTGTGTGAATGCTGGCAAGTCACCTCTCGTCTCTCATCTTCAGTTTCTTCACTTAGAGATGGACGTTTAAGACAAGGACAGTAAAAACCCTGGCATCTTCGCACTACTTGCATCTGAGAGTTTGAAGAATGATAGTATTTTTCTTAAACACCAGCTCATTTTCCTTTTCTTTCTGGCCAAATAAAAGCAATATGGTGCTTTAGATGGTCAGTGCATTCATCCTTATTTATCAGAGTTTCCTGGCTGTGCTGGGTGCAGCCAAGTTCATTCTAGTTAATGGGCACCTCATATAACTGAGTAGAACTGCTCCACAGTGTTTTGTAGACTATAGTCTCTATAGGGACCGACTGCTAGGTCTTTTCCTCCCATGGAGCCATTAGGTGGGTTCAAACTACTGACCTTCTTGTTAGCAGGTGAGTGTTTAACCACTACTCCAACAGGACTGCTATAATGATTGCTTTAGGAATTGTTAAATAAGGGAATACACCTGGAGGAGAGGTTTTATCTGTAGCGTATGATCCTCAGCTCATACTGTTCAACTAGTTAAACACGGAAGGTTGCTTAGTGCTGAATGTGAATGTGTCGTGCATAATTTGCTTCTAATTATCATTAAAATGCTGAAAATGGTCGATCGTTAGCTTTTGCGTAAATTAGAGGAAATTTATATTATCCCCATAATATTACTGGTTTTTCTCACAAGTTTGGGAAAGGCTGCAGTTGGATTGGGTGGTCCCAGTAATTGAGCATGACTTTGTCTAGGCCACCAGGAACTGCCTGCAGCTCAAGTTAGTGGGATACTATTAATGTTGTTTGTTGTGGTGTGAGTCGGAATTGACCCGTAGCTGACCCTCCAGTGGGTTTTCAGAGGCAGTTAATTGTACAGGAGGAGATTGCCCATCCTTCTCCCACAGAGCAGCTGGTGGATTTGACCTGCATGCCTTCGGGATTGCAGCACAGCTTCTTGCCACTAGGCCACCAGTGCTCCCTATACTATTAATTGTTGCTGTTGTTGATTGCCTTCAAGTTGAGCACGACTCATAGCGACCCTATGAACAAAAAGCTTGAAGCCCCTCTATAACTATCGACTTTTATCGAAGTTCATAGGGTTTCCAGAGGCATGTGGTTTAGGAAGTGGATGCCACTCCTGCTTCCAAACCTGTCTTAAAACTGAGAGCTCTACCAAACACTGTCCACCATGGGCAGCCATTATGGCATTTGAGATCCCAGAGGTATAAGGTTCAGCGTCACAGCAAACCCAGATTTCCTCAGCACAGCAAGTTGACAGAACAGTGAATGTTGCTCCAAAATATAGTAACAAAAGATTAAAAGATAATCCCTCAGGCTCAACTTTTAAATATAAGGGCCCTCCATGAGGTCTTGTTGACTCTAAACAAGAGGCTTAAATTTAGAAAAACAACCACACATTCCACAATGACCCTCAACCAAAACAAGAAAGCCCATCTTACAGAGTCCAGTCACTTCACCCAGGCTTCAAAATGGAAACAGGGGCTTGGTCTTAAATGCAAGTGTCCTCCTGGAGGTCTTGTTGACTCTAAACAAGAGGCTTAAATAAAATAACAATGAAAGAATCCATACAGATCCTCAACCAAAACAAGAACACCATCATACAGAGTCCAGCTGCTTCACCAAGTCCAAAATAGAAGACAAGGGCTTGTCATTATATATTGTTGTTTTTGTTAAGTACCATCTAGTACTGATCCTAAAAACAAAAGGCTTTAACCTTGTTTTATAACTTTTATCCTTTCTTGGTTCAAAATTGGGAGGGGTATATGCCAGGGATGTGTCCTGTCTCCATACCTTTTCAACCTCTATGCAGAACAGATCATCCAGGAGGCTGGGATCTATGAGGAGAAATGTGGCATCAGGATTGGTGGAAGATCTATCAACAATCTGTGTTATGCAGATGACACAACCCTGCTTGCTGAAACTGAAGAGGACCTGAAGCACTTGCTGCAGTGGGTCAAGGACTGCAGCCTTCAATATGGATTGAGGCTCAATGTCAAGAAGACAAAGATTCTCCCTCTGGACCAATTGGCAGCATCAGGATGGATGGTAAAGAGATTGAGATTGTACACAGCTTTAGTTTGCTGGGCTCCATAGTCAACAGTCTTGGCACCAGCAGCCATGGGAAAGTCTGCTGTTAGGGACCTCTCTAAAGTACTGAAGAACAGTGCTGTCTCTCTGGAGACTAAGGTGCACCTGATATAGGCCATGGTCTTTGCAATCACATGTTATTCATCAGAGAGTTGGACAATGACTGGGGTGGATAGAAGGAGAATTGATGCCTTTGAGCTTTGGTGTTGGACAAGAGTATTGAGCGTGCCATGGACTGCTAAGAAAACAAACAGATTCATCTTGGAGAGGAGAGACTGGTCCTTGGAGAGGGACATCATGCTTGGGAGGGTGGAGGGCAGGCGCAGGAGGGAAAGGCCCTCTATGAGGTGGATTGATTCAGTGACTGGGGTAATCAGGATGAGTGTGTTGGAGACAATGAGATTGGCACAGGACAGAACAGAGTTTAGGGCTGTTGTACATAGGGTCGCTATGAGTCGCAAACGACTCAATGGCACACAACAACAACAACATCCTTTCTCGAAGTTCACAGCATTTCCACAGGCATGTTTAGGAAGTGGATGCCACTCCTATTTCCAAGCCTGTCTTAATCTGTGAGCTGTACCAAACATTGTCAACCAGGTGTAACTGTTATGGCACTTGACAGACCAATGGCACAATGTTTAGTATCACAGTAAACCAAAGTTCCCTCAATACAGAGAAATGACTGGACAGTTTTATACCACTTAGGCTTGTTCATTTAAAAAACCATTAAAACCAGGCCTGAGGGCCCAAATGAATTTTAAAAGACCACAGGCCCACGCATTAGCATCTCATTGGTTCCCAACAAGAGGCTTCCTGCCAGCTGTAAACAATCCAGAGCCTGCCCCATCCAACAGGAAAATAATTGAGGGGCTGCTGTTGTTTTGCTGAAAATGTAGATTCTATTCATGAATGATATGAGGCAGACCTGGTAGTGTGGACTTCAGAGTCAGGGAGTTTGCATCCTGGCTCTGACATCTTTATACTATGCTGCTCAGACCCCTGACACCAAAATTATTCAGTCTTGATTTCTTCCTTTATAAAATATAGATAATAATACCTTAGAATTTATTATTATTATTAGATAATAATATCTTATAATTACTAATTTTTATTAGATCCTGTCTTAGGATTGCTACAAAGCTTAAATGGGTTAATATTATTGAGTTAGAATTATATGAGTTATAGAATTATTATTGAGTTAGAATTATGAGTTATGAATTAAATTAGTTCTAGAATTATATTAGCTAGAATTATTATTATTAGACAATAATGTCTTAGAATTGCTACAAAGATTAAATGAGTTAATAAACGCAAAATGGCTAGAATGGAGCTTGGCATTCTGGGACTTATAACCTATTGTTAGTGTTAGTACTGCTGTTATCCTTGGAATCTGTTATACATAAGAACCCTGGTGGCGCAGTGATTGTGTGCTCAACTGCTAACCATAAAGTTAGCAGTTCAAATCCGTTAGTTACTCAGCATGAGGAAGATGTGGCCGCCTGCTTCTGCTATGATTGTGACTTTCAACACCCCATATTGTTGTTAGGAGCCTTCACGTTAAAACTGATCCCTAGGTGACCCCTCCCCGTGGGTTTATGGGGACGGTAAACTGCACAAGAGGTCATTGCCCATCTTTCTCCCACTGAGCAGCTGGTGGGTTCAAACTGTGATTTTGGGGTTGTTGGCAGTGTAGCTCCTCCCCATGGAGCTCCCTTGAAAACCATATGGGGCAGTTTTACTCTGTCATGAAGAGTAAACATGAGTCAAAAACAATTAAGCAACAACTGGTTTGATAGAAGTGACACACATATAAGTATTCTTGTCCAAGGATCTGCAGATGGAGTAAAGTTGGAAGCCGTCATTCTGCTCTCCAAGTAGGAATCATGCAGGGGGTGGGAGCAAGGAAATTGTGCAACAATGGAAGAATCATCTTTTTAAAGCGAAAAGCAAACTTGTGGCAGGAGAAAGGGGGAGAGGGAGGGAAATGTGCAGCAACGAATGAATGGAAATCCAAGTTTTCTGTAAAGTTTTGTTAAAATATCAATTTTTTTAACAGGAGGGAAAGTAGGAATCATGTCTGTATAGCATGATGGGTCCTAAGAAAGTTAATTTAGACGACGGTTTTGTTGACGATGTTGATGATGGCTCTTTCTTTCTCTGTAGCATTTGTAATCAGTACAGCACCATTGCGAACAAAGTCAGTGAGGTCCCTGCCAACACCGAGCAGCTGGTGTCCCTCATTGAATTCTTAAAGAAATCCAGCGACGTCACTGTGTTCAAACTCAGGAGGCAACTTAGAGATGCAATTGAACGGATAGAGTTTCTGTTGGACTACGCAGACCTACCCCGTACGTCCAGTACTGTGTAACTGTATATGTACATGCAATTCTTTCTTTCTTTCTTTCTTT